CATTCATTGACAACGATCAAAACCCAGATAATATTGCAGATTGTATCGCCCAAAACATTCTTAAGGCAGCATCTGAAAGCATCCCAACAGAATAGTAAACTATCCGGCCAAATGACGTACCTTGGGATAAATAATGATGTCAAAAAAACAAATAAGAAAACGTAGGAAACTTCATCAAAGAGCTAAATTACTTAATAATGAAAATGCCTGGGCTAACTTTTCGAAAAATTAGGAATGAAACCACAAAACTTATAAAAAAAAACTAAATCAGATTATCAAAATAACTTAACTACACAGATTAATTCAGACAACATCACAGCAAAAACATGGTTTAAACTTGCAAAAAAAATTAACAAATAAACAAAGTACATCAACAATACCAACACTTACAGATGGCTCAGCAATAGCGGAATCAAACAAAGAGAAAGCTGACCTTCTAAAACACCTATTTTAGCAAACAATCAACCATCGAAAAACCACACCATCCCCTTCCACCTCTTGAAATCATTACAAACGTCCTCATTTCTGGTGTAACAGTCACTACTCAAGACGTTAAGGACTCTATTAAACTCTATGGACTCAGCTAAAGCATCTGGTCCGGACTTAATTAGCCCAAGGCTCATTAAGGAAGGTAAGGATGAACTAGCTTCACCACTTGCAAGGTTTTTCAACAAACTTCTTTTAAAATCTGTATTTCCCTCCTCCTGGAAACTTGCCAATGTTTGTCCTATTTATAAAAAGTCCGATCCTTCTAAAACATGTAACTACAGACCTATATCTCTTTTAAGCTGTCTCGGAAAAGTTATGGAAAGATGCATCCATAAATACTTGTATAACCATGTCATTTCAAATAAACTATTAACACCATTTCAATCAGGATTCATTAAAGGGGATTCAACCATAAATCAGCTAACCTTTCTTTACAATGACATCAGCAAAGCCCTAGATGAAGGAAAAGAAGTTCGCGCAGTATTTTGTGATATATCAAAAGCTTTCGACAGGGTTTGGCACCAAGGACTCCTCTATAAACTTTCTTCTTTAGGCATACAAGGTTCTCTTCTTCAGTGGTTCTCATCTTATCTTGCTGACAGAAAACAAAGAGTCATCGTATCAAATACTTCTTCAACACTTTTAAATATCAATGCTGGAGTACCTCAGGGGTCCATCTTAGGCCCTCTCCTGTTTCTAATATACATTAATGACATAGTCACTGATATTGAAGCAAACATTCGACTTTTTGCTGACGACACTAGTCTCTACATCATTGTCGAAGATCCCAACTCTTCTGCTGCAATATTGAATTGCGATCTTTCAAAAATTTCTGTGTGGTCAAAAACTTGGCTTGTCTCATTTAATCCCTCAAAAACAGAACATGTCCTTTTCTCAAGAAAACGAAACAAACCCCAACACCCTTGTCTAGTCTTTGATAATGTGAACATTTCTAGTGTTAAAGAACACAAGCACCTTGGTGTCATCTTTTCTGAAAATGGTAAATGGACATCACATATAACATCAAATGTTAATAAAGCTTGGCAGAGAATTTGGTATTCTTCGAAGTCTGAAATTTCTTATTTCTAGAGCGGGATTGGAGAAATTATATGTAGCCTTTATTAGACCTTTGCTTGAGTATGCCGACGTGATGTGGGATAACTGTAGTAATGAACTAAAAAATGATATTGAATCCGTTCAGCATGAAGCAGCAAGAATCGTCACAGAGCTACTAAGTTTTGCAACATCAACAAATTAATTAGCGACCTCAGTTGGATACACTCGCAGAAAGGAGAAGAAAACATCGTCTCGTACTTATGTATAAAATGAAAAATGGTCTCGCTCCTGATTATCTCTCTGGTCTGATACCAGAACATTTTAATCAACCCTACACTCTTCGCTCTAACACCGATATCCCATTAATACACTGCAACTCCCAATTCATATGCTACTTCTTTTCTTCCGTATACTATTCGCCAGTGGAATTCTTTACCTGGAAATATTAAAAATGCATCCACAGTAAGTGCTTTCAAACACAAACTCAACTACAGAAATATGTCGTCTAATAAGAAAAAAACACCTGTATAATTTTGGCAGCAGGAAAAACCAAGTAAACATACACGTCTAAGACTTGGATGCAGCTCTCTTAATTTCGAATTACATAGGAGAAACTTAATCTCGTCTCCTTTGTGTACATGTGGTGCCATAGAAACTGTTTCCCACTTTCTGCTCAGTTGTCCTAAGTACCATATCCTACGTCAGCAATTCTTTGACGACCTACCCTGTGCCCCAACCCTTAATAATCTTCTTTTCGGCAATGATCGCCTAAGTATGGACATCAATCAGAATCTGTTCACACTTGTCCAGAGCTTCATTGAAGCATCAAAGCGTTTCGATTCATAATTCCCGACTCAGCGTTTTAAACATCGTATTTCCATGACAAACTGTGTGACACAACTTTTTTTTTATTGTTATTATTATTTTTATTTTCTTCTCTCTTTTTTTTTATTAAAAAGGAAAATGGATAAACAAAAAATCAAGTAAAACCTTCCGAAAAATTATAAATTTAGATCAATTTTGAACTTAAAAACATGCACTGATCATATAAAGTGAAATAACAAAGACGAAACTCCATCATGGAAAGGAATTAATATAAGTGTTATGCTTGTTTTCCAATCCATATATATTGTGATGTAAAAATGTTACATGCTTGTAAAAATTGATGAATAAAATATGTTTAAACTAAAATGTCCTACCTGCGGGCGTCTGAAAGAAATGTCATTCGTCCTGCTGGCGTCTCTATGCAACGTCATTCTTCCTGCTGGCGTCTCGATGCAACGTCATTCTTCCTGCTGGCGTCTCTATGCAACGTCATTTGTCCTGCTGCCGTCTCTATGCAACGTCATTCTTCCTGCTGGCGTCTCTATAAAATGTCCTACCTGCTGGCGTCTCTATGCAACGACATTCTTTCTGCTTGGCGTCTCTATGCAACGTCATTCTTCCTGCTGGCGTCTCTATGCAACATCATTCTTCCTGCTGGCGTCTCTATAAAATGTCCTACCTGCTTGCGGCTCTATGCAGCGTCATTCTTCCTGCTGGCGTCTCTATGCAACGTCATTCTTCCTGCTGGCGTCTCTATGCAACATCATTCTTCCTGCTGGCGTCTCTATAAAATGTCCTACCTGCTGGCGTCTTAATAAAAAGTCATTTGTCCTGCTGGCGTCTCTATGCAACGTCATTCTTCCTGTCGGCGTCTCTATGCAACGTCATTCTTCCTGCTGGCGTCTCTATGCAACGTCATTCTTCCTGCTGGCGTCTCTGTAAAATGTCCTACCTGCGGGTGTCTCAATGAAATGTCATTCGTCCTGCCGGCGTGTCGAACAAACATTTTCCATCCTGCTGGCGTCTTACTGCCTTACATGTAGAATTATGTCGTTTAGGATTGAAGATGTATCATCTTACGGGTAAACTAAGAAAATATGAGTGTCTGAAGAAATTTCTTTTTTGTCATTAATTTGACATCATAAAATCGTAGCGCATTAAGAAAGAAACGTTGTATGTAACCTGAATAATATTTTACCGTTAAGTAAATTTACACTATCTAGAGTGAAATGGGAAACTTGTCAATCGTACGGTAAAATAATCATTTTCCTTAGTTTATTTTCTATTATCTCGGTTCAATTTAGAACTGTTAAGCACTTATTGATTATTTTCAAAGGTATTGGTAGCTTATAATTATGTAAGTAAAGTTTTTAATAGATGGCTTTAACATAATTATGTAATTGACTAAACATAAAGAAGTGTCTATTTGTATTGATTAAATATTAGATATGTCTCATAGAGATACAGATTATATTGGAGTTTCAAAAGTGTTAAAGTGTTTTAAAGCTGCAAACCTACAGATGAGCAACAATATTTCAATAAAATCAAACCTGAAAAAAATTATTATTAAGTTTTAAGGAAAACTAAAATATTCAAAATTCTAGTAATAGTTTACATGTTATGTGAGATTAATGACCTATTTTTCAGCATTTATAACTATATCTCTATTACGTGACTAACGCAGTAACGGCTATTTTTGTATATTTTGACCTCTTTTTGGTAACTTACATGGGTTGTAAGTGCCACTGATATTGTTTTAATTGCATTCGTTTAGTTACTTTACAATATTATACGTTTTAAGACATTTTAAAATTTTCATGAAAATTAGCATGAATCTGATGGCGTGCTGCTTTAAAATGTTTTAAGATGATATCAGATATATTTCACCGACTATAAGAAATATTGCACATATCGTGTTATGACGTGAGAAGATATATTTCACTGAGATAGAAAGAATAAAGTAATGCTTCTCTTAAAAATAAAAAATATTTTACTAAAAAATAGAAATTATATGAAATGATATACAAAATGTAGTACATATTTCTCTTAGAAAAATATTGACAGGTCCCTTCTCTGACCTTTTATTTGAAAAGCAATAGATTTAACCGCAAAAATTGACATGTGCTCATTTGATAACAAATATGGTGTGATGAAATTTATATTTGTATTCGCTAATCTGATAATATGTATTAGACAGGCCACGGATCTATATGTGCACTACATGTATCTTACTGTTACAGAAATATCATAGGAAATATTTCACATAGAAATAAAGATATGTTTTCACCGGGAGAGAAAAACTGGTGCTGGAAAAAAGAATACCAGTATATAACATATATTAAACTGAATGTTACAATGCGTCTCTACATCCTTATGTATAATTTAAAGATAAGCATTATTTGACTAAACGCTTACTGGCGCTAGAAAAGCCTAACTGCATGACATAGATATATAACTGCACTAAATATGAATATTATTTGTTAATGCTAGCTCTACTTGACTAACCCATGTCGTTTAGTACATGTATTTGATTGTTTTAATGACTTTAATTATCATAAATATACTGCTACTTATTTGCTAGTTTTGAGTTTTACGTGAAATATTACAGCGTTACTTTTCTTGTTTTGCAGACTCTGAGAACGATTTCAATCTAGATGCTAGAGGTACCGGAAATGACGACATTCAGAAACCGTCATTGAAGCACGTGTGTCCTATATGCAGTCGACCGTTCCCATCTTCTTCCGGTTTATCTCGTCACCTGCTTACACATACAGGAGAGAAACCGTTTGAATGTGAGGTTTGTGGTAAACGGTTTAACAGAAAGGGAAATATGAGAACACATATGCTTGTACATTTACAAGCTTTAAAGAATTAAATGATAAACTATTGCATATAAATATGTTGTTTTTTTTTGTAAATAATGGTGATTAAGGTCAATCTTTTTCATTTGATATAGTGGTACTAAATACAATATTGTATTGTTTGTTTGTCTTTCGGATTTGATTTATTCAATGTATTCAAATGTATTTTTGTTCTCGTGAACAATAAAGTATTTTGTGCATCTGCACTGGCATATTTGTAACTGTATACACTTGTAGCTGTTTTAATGAACTTTATTTACTCCAGTGTTAAATTATCTTATAATTTGCTTTATATTATTCCGAAGATTTTTACTTCTCACTCAGTTTTTCATTCATGTTTGATTATGCAGGCAATATTATAATAAATGATTTATTCTATAAAAGACAATGTAACCAACAGCAACTGTATTTGTTTGTTTATGTTCGTGTAAATAATACCTTCTTACTACAATTTTGCACGATATTTGCATTTTTGTAATATACGTGATGTAAAATGGCAGATTGTTTGTTTGTTTTATTTTGTTCGGTTTGTAATCATATGATATATGGTGACTTTCTTGCTTTACTGATGGAGGCAGACTTCAGGTACCCCTTTGTGCAATAAGTCAAGATTTCAGAAAGTTTGCTGGAAAGCTTAGCTTCTTCATATAATATAAATACAAAGTCCTTGCAACAGCCATGAGGGTCAAGTGTGTCGGAGTAAACGTATCTACGGTGGCATAGAGGTGACATTTGCAGTTTTATTTTATCTCGTGGCCACGACTTATTATCTTGAGGCCTCAAGATATTATCTCGTGGCCACGACTTATTATCTCGTGGCCACGACTTATTATCTTGTGGCCTCAAGATATTATCTCGTGGCCACGACTTATTATCTCGTGGCCACGAGTTATTATCTTGTGGCCTCAAGATATTATCTCGTGGCCACGACTTATTATCTCGTGGCCACGACTTATTATCTTGTGGCCTCAAGATATTATCTCGTGGCCACGACTTATTATCTCGTGGCCACGAGTTATTATCTTGTGGCCTCAAGATATTATCTCGTGGCCACGAGTTATTATCTTGTGGCCACGAGTTATTATCTCGTGGCCACGAGTTATTATCTTGTGGCCACGACTTATTATCTCGTGGCCACGACTTATTATGTCGTGGCCACGAGTTATTATCTTGTGGCCTCAAGATGTTATCTTGTGGCCTCAAGATATTATCTCGTGGCCACGAGTTATTATCTTGTGGCCACGACTTATTATATTGAGGCCACGAGTTATTATCTTGTGGCCACGACTTATTTCAGCCAATGAAAATGGTCGTTTCATCTTGAACAAAAGTTTATATCAATAAGACCTTATATCACACTGGCCACAGCTTTCACAAGAGCGGCGGGTCAAGCGCTGCGGCGGTGAAGAAAGGGAACGTTTTATAATTATTATTCTTCTTGTTTTGTATGGTCAGGTGTTTCTTTCATTCTTCTTTAAAGATATACTTTGCTTAAATTTAGTATTAGAAAATATGGATAATTGTTACATTGTCCCTTTGTACATGTAAACATAAAATGAACATGTTTTGACTTCAAAGATAGTAGATATGTTATGTTTAAAATTCTACACAGTATAGGTGTTCACCATGCATATATATATATTGTCAGTTTTTTAAGTAAAGATTACCTGACCTGTTATAAGGAACGCAGCTTCCTGTACATAGTTTATTGATTTCTTTATTCAAAAGTTAGACGCATTAAGTTAGAATACCATAGATTAAAAAAAAATCTGTGACTTTAATTTTCAATGATGAGCACGGTATATCTAATTTAATTGAGATTTAATTAAGAAATATATGCGGTTTGATGTATACTTTTAAGGTCGTTCATGGAAATAAACTTGCCCCTTTTCCCTGTGGATTCGAATCCCATTAAAGACTTGTATCTAGATAGGTATTATTGAAGATATACTACAATATCACAATGATAAATGAGTATCTTTGACGGGTTATCTGAATCTTTTTCTTTATTATAAAAAACTGACATACTAGTATACAAGTTTCAAAGACATATGTCAATTCTTTTAAGATCTCCTCTTTGATTGGTACTGCTTTATGCTGTGCTATTGCTACTGCCAATTTCACGTTTTATAATTTGTCACTGCTACTTCTGTGCTACTGCTACTGCCAAACTTCATGTTTTATAATTTTTGTTACTGCTACTACTCAATACTACTGCTAACTTCCTACTGGTTGATGACCACTTATAAAAAGTGAGTGTATTTTATGAAAAACTGCATCTATAGAAACTTGATCCTTAAACGTTAGGACCATAAGATAAGAATACAGAGGACCAATTAGTGATGACAAGACTCTACTCAGTGGACGTGTTAATGTGGTCAATACAGTTTATAGTGATATACTAACTGATAAGCCTTACTGAAATTCAGCACGTCTCTGGGAAAATGCGTGAACTTAAGTAAATATATGGTGGTGATTGACACGCCCCTCCTGTGACTGCTATTGCCAGTGTGATAATAAAATTTTGTTCAAGATGAAACGACCATTTTCATTGGCTAAAATAAGTCGTGGCCACAAGATAAATAACTCGTGGCCACGAGAAAATAAGTCGTGGCCTCAATATAATAAGTCGTGGCCACAAAATAATAACTCGTGGCCACGAGATAATATCTTGAGGCCAACAAGATAATATCTTGAGGCCACAAGATAATATCTTGAGGCCACAAGATAATAACTCGTGGCCACGAGATAATAACTCGTGGCCACGAGATAATAAGTCGTGGCCACGAGATAACATCTTGAGGCCACAAGATAATAACTCGTGGCCACAAGATAATAACTCGTGGCCACGAGATAAATATCTTGAGGCCACGAGATAATATAGTCCGTGGCCCACAAATAATAACTCGTGGCCACGAGATAATATCTTGAGGCCACAAGATAATAAGTCGTGGCCAGGAGATAATAAGTCGTGGCCACGAGATAATATCTTGAGGCCTCAAGATAATAAGTCGTGGCCACGAGATAAAATAAAACTGCAAATGTCACCTCTATGCCACCGTACGTATCTAACCACTCGGCAATGGCCAAAATTTACTCCTTTGCCAAATTTCTAGGCCACATTTTGCGTCTGAATAATTTTTACAGTTAGTGGAAATAAGTCTTTTTCATACTAACATTTTGTTTAATCACAAATTTGTTCACACCTCATGTTATAAGCATCTCACATATCATCAATCTTTAAATAAAAACGCATGTTTGTCCTTTCTACAGAAAAGAAAAAGAAGGAAAGCATTTCTGAGGCATAATATGTGCCTTTAAGGATAACTTCCTATACAGATAACGATTTCTTAACGTATTAATAACACATCTGTCAAATCAGCTTGAATATTTAAATGATTGATGTTTGCACTTGATTTTATCAGCTAAAGTCATCTATTTAATCAGCAAGTCAAATTGTGTTTCAATTCCGTATGAAATCGTCTCTATTCCCCAATTTCTAAAGCCGTAAAGATCGTCTTACTAGATTATATTTATTTGAACAATCTTCTTAAATGAGTTTGAAGTCAGGAAATATTTAGAATCGTCTGTAAAACACTTACGATATTCATCATTATGATGATACTATTTATTCTGTAAATAGTTCTTGAATATGTTTGCTGTTCTTTGTTATTATTCCTTATATAGACGGAAGAAACACAAACATAATCAGTTTTGTAATTTCAATAATAATTATAAGTTTGTTTTTCTAACTGTCTACACTGCTGTAAAAACATGGTCACCATTCTTCACAATAAGAGTAGTTTTTCCCCAATGTTTTACTTTTCACAGACGTTCTGTTAGTTTACATTATGATTATATCTAAACTAAAAATGTTTCATATATATAAAGTTTATGTCAATTATTGAGAGAAAGTGCCAGTTATTGAGTGTCAGATATTTAGAAATGTACTCATTAAAGCTAAAATATTTCGAACTGAATGTACTGATGTTTTTAAACTGACATTTTCCTGTCGTTAATCTAATACTTGTAATCATATGTCCAGACAGTTCACGTAAAACTGTAAGTGAAATGTAACAGAAACTGTTAAAAATCCATTTTAAGCTTTAAAATATTAAAAAACATTCGCAACAAAATCATCAATTTATTATCAAAACATAGAGAACATTAGTTGACATATAAAAAGCAAAATACCCGGTACTAATTAACTTTAGGAAGTACATGTACTTCTCAAATTTCCTTTAAGATATTTAATAATAAAGTCATTTGTCTACGTGCAACATCGGTTTATAAAATTAAAACAAAAGTTTTACTGTTGTATTTTATGAAAACAGTTTTTTTTTTAAATGTCAATCCGATGTTCAGGTGACGACTTATTGTAGTATTTTCAACAATACTTCATAAATAAAAAAAACAAAACTTCTGCTCAATATTGATGTTGTATAACAACTTTATTCTGATTTTTGTAAACAAATACCCCCGAAAAACCTGCTTTATAAATGTTAATCACGATAAAAATACTACTTACATCAATTGCTGTAAATTGTACAGATTAAACAAGAGATTACTTTGATCTTAAACAGCTTCAATTAAGCAGGTTATCTTGATTCATACTCTGCTTTTATCACTTACCTTAATTGATGATTAAATCAATTAGATAATTAATTAATTAATATTTTTTTAAAATAAATTACATACTTGATATATACCTTACTGTGCATCATAATACAGTTACGTATACATGTGTATATTTATAAAGTTTGATCATTAACACATTAAAGTGGGTTTATACTCTAGGTAAATGCTTCATGTCATTACCAATTTCTCCACAAGTGACCGACTACTAATCCCACATGAATTCTGAATCAGTGGTTAGAGACAAAAGACCATAAGACTAAATACCCAAGATTAGTCGTCATGGAGAAATAAGCCTCGCTCGTATACCGGATCAGCGACATCTGATGCTCTTCCCATTGGTTTGGTTGAAACATTATTTAATCTCGATTGCCAAACAAGTTCTTACAACTTATATTAATCACTTATGAGTCGCTTCCTGGAACTAGCCAGTACTGGTGTCATTTAAATATACATAGTGTTGATGACCCGACTTGAGCTAGACCTAGGTTGATAGGCAGACACCTTAACCACTAGGTCACCGCTCCTCTCATATTCTCCACTGCTCTTTCCACTAAGTGTACATAAAAATGTCCATCGTTTTTCTTTCACCTTTAAACATCAATTTTCTTTAACTATCTTTGCTTTCAGCTAATTTGCAAAAAAGAAAAAGAAAAAAAAAAAAGAGAAAATCTTACATAAATACGAGACATCAGTCTTTGTAAGAGAACAATTTTAATTGAATATATGAATGTTTGTCAGTTTATAAATAGGTTTGTATCGGTAAAAGCGTCTATTTGATAAAAGTAATGTACATAACGAATGTAAGAAAGGTATAAAGGCTAATTTCAAAAGCATAACATGAAAATATGTACTATATACTTTTGAAATTAAATGTTATTGCATGGTTCTATATATTTATTGCCTTGTTTAATAAAAAATCTATGAAAATACATAATAAATAAGGGTAAGACTCTGTAGGAGATGGTCGGTAACACCAAGTCTTATAATCTGATCTGCAAGATATTTTTTTATACTTATTTTTAA